CTTGCTTCTGTAGAATCAAGGTCCTTTTTTCTTGTAGATATCTTCCAGGGTCTCATGGTGCCCCTTTCCACATCTTCAAAGGCAGCCATGGAGGACTGAGTTTCTGGCCCACATTTGGTCTCTCCTGCCTCTTGTTTTCTCTTTCTGCCTCCCCTTTCCACTTAAAGGACTTGCAAGATTAACCTGGGCCTGTCCAGATACCCAGGTAACTGTTCCCCATGGGGTGCACCGCCTTGATCCCATGAGCTGAGGCTCTGTGCCCGTAAGGTGGTACAGTAACTGGTCCTGAGGAATAGAATGTGCATATCTTTGCAGAAGCCGTTCTTCTGCCTTTGCCCATTGGATGTGCGGCTGAAAGAAAATGTAGAATCCAGGTTTCTGACTTGACAACCAGGCGGAATGCAGTTTTAAGGAAAGAATTTGAGTTTGGCTTTTTTGGTTTTTTTTTTTTTTGTCTGTTTTGTTTTCTTTTTGAGTCAGGGTCTTGCTATAGAGACCAGGCTGGCCTTGAACTCATGGCGATCCTCCTGCCTCAGCTTCTCAAGTGCTAGAATTACATGTGTGCACTACCATACCCAGTAAGAAGTTCCATTTGGTCTTGAATATACTGACTTTAGATGTTCCTGGAAACCTTCTAGAAGTAGATGTACCAGCCAAAAGGCAGAAGACAAAGCAAGACAGGAGACTCCGATAAGGTAGCTGTTGACACAGAGTGGCCCTTGGTGAGTGTGCAAAATGGGAAGAGAACAGGCTTCAAGAAGCATCTGGAACTGACTGTGTTCTAGGTGTAACTGTGGGAGAAACGCTCATGAGAGAAACTGAAGAATGACCTGCCTGGCCCCCTAACCAGGGTCTCTGTCCCTTACGTCCTGTCCCTTCTTTCCCTTCTACCTGGCTGCTCTCCTCCCCATCACCTGACTTTTTGCCTCATTGTTCTGTCTCTTAAAACTCAGCCTCACATTGTGCTGGGAGCCCCCTCCAGGCTGCCCCTTCACGGGGGTTCTAGTGCCAGTTCCCGCTACTGAGTCCGTTCTCTTGGGGCTTTTCAGTTGCAGGAACCCCTGTTCTCTTGGGGCTTCTCAGTTGCAGGTTTAAAACAAAAAACTTTTGAAGAGACCTGGGTTGACCCAGCCTATTTGGAGCCACACTGTGGCTTGGGTCTCCCAGTGATTTTAGGACTGACTTTCCTAAGGCCAGGTGCCCACCATGGTCCAATCAGTTGCTTCTCTGTTTCAGAAACCAGGATGAACCAGATCTATGTGTTCAGCTAATCATTTTGTTCCACAGAGACTTTGGAGGAAGAAGGTTAACTTTAGGTGGATCGCATTTGCTGGACCCAGGGTCATGTGTTCAGAGTGGGCAGACTGGCCCCTTCCCCCCAGCCTCCTGGAGGCCTAACGCTGTCTGTGGATAGGAAATGGCCCTTGTAGGAACTGAATTCTGGATCCAAACCATAGGAAGAAAGTCCAGGCAGGCAGAACTCAGAGTGAATGTAGTCATTTTCCTTCAGACTCATCTGCATTCTGCATTGCCTTGGTGTGCTTATAAACATTATCCAGAAGACAGCTAGTTATTCAGTGTTGAGGACTTGCTGACCACTCACCATTCCTCCACTGACAGCCTCTCTGCACATAGCTGGTGCTGACCCTCCCGTCATTCTGACCGTGCACTCTCAGCTTCTCTTAGAGAGAGGAGCTCCATCAAGGCTGCAGCTTACACCACAAGGTTGGGAGAGCCAACAAGGTACCCTTGCTTGTGTTTGCTATCCTTGCTGGATTGTGAGAAAACTAGGATCTGTACTGCCACATGAACAAAGAACTATAATTTTCAAATTCCTACTGGTTTTCATTATACACAGATAAGAATTTTTTTTTTTAAATGTACTTGGAATTTTTTTTTTTTTTTTTTGAGACAGGGTCTTGCCATGTAGTTCAGATCTGCCTTAAACTTACTCTGTAGCCTAGGCTGACCTCAAACTCCCAGGATTCCTCTTGCCTCAGTCTCCCAAGTGCTGGGATTACAGGCAGGTGGCACCACAACTGGCTTATACTGGGAATTAAAAGCAGGTAGCAATGAGATACACCCCCAGCCCCTTTTTATTTTTTATTTTGAGATAGAGTCTTGCTAAGTTGCCCAGGCTGGGCTTCAATTTCCAATCTTTCTGCCTTGGCCTTTCAAATAGCTGAGATTATAGCTGCCAAGCTACAGATGAGAATCTTTTACAAAATATTAAGCTGATACATGTCAGGAAGGGCAGGGACTCTGTAAGACTAAGAAAGCTCCTCTTAATCAAATTCCTCTGATGTCAGGCTTCAAAGGAGACATCTTTGAATACCTTCTTTTCACAAGGAGGCTCATGAGAGGCCATGCATGTGACTTGGGTGTTTGGTGACTGACAGGCTGCACCTAAGCAGTGGCCCTGCCCTATTTCTTGCTGGGCACTGGGCTGAAAGCAGGAAGGTAGAGAGCTCTTGACACTGTAGTGCACTCTCGTTGTTCATTTCTCATTAGACCCTTGCCAGATCATACCCGAATCTCAGCAGAGGGGATCCCCTCCATGCCAAACTAGAGGAAGAACCACAGTCAAAGGAATGTCCCAGACCCCAAGGGGTTCCTGAGGAGAAAGGGAGACAGCCATACCCTGCACCTACTCATTGGAGGTGCCGGAGGACAGGCCAGCACTGGGCCTGCTGGTGGTGTTTCAGCCAACTGTGTTTAGTCTGCCCACAGAAGACTTCTTGGTGGACATTCGTAGCTGCCTGGGGGTAAATGAAACTATTACCAGTGGACTGCTCAAGCGAGTCTCTTAGGTCACTGATCTCGGTGAGAACAGGGTGAGCAGGAAGCCCTAGAAGACCAAGGCAGGTGCAGGCCCTGCCCAGGGCTGGAGAGAAGACCTTGGAGTCCTGGTGCCAGCACTGAGGCTGCCCGCTGGGCCGAGCAGGGAAACAGGTGGGTGTTCAAACTCAGCCGGCTGGAGCCAGGGAGAACGGGGCAGTGAAACCAGTACTGAAGCTGACGTTCTCAAGGAAAGGGAAGACAGCAGATCCTGGTGGAATGAACGGGGTAAAGAGGCAGCCTCCAAAATAACAGAAGGGCCCCCTTCCCTGAGACACCTCCTAGCTGAGAGTCCAGATCACTGACTTGGCTTTTGAATCAGAGGATCTGTAGGGTAACATTAAATCCTTGCGGAACGAGGGACTCACACGCTTCTCTTACCGTTCCTCCTTCCCTTTACCGCCTGCTCTCTTCAGACCCAAAGAATCCTCGGCATTTTAACCTCAGAGTTGCTCATGATTTTTGAATCTGCCGGTATTTACCCCTCTGGGACTTGGTACATGTTGTTTCCTAACTTGGGAAAGGCTTCCCTCTCCTTCTCTGTCTTTAAAAATCTAACCTAATTGTTAGGAGCTGTCTCAATGTCATCTTCTTTATAAAGTCTTCCTGGACCTCTCTAGATTGGGTAAGCAGCCCTTAACTGTGCGCCCATAGAACTTTGTCTTTTTGTTATATCACTTATCAGGTTGTGTTCCATTCATGTGGTAGGATAATTGAAATGTTACTTGACTCGGGCATCATCTCAGCTCCCTATAACAGTGCCGGAAAGGCAGTAGAAGCTTATTTCTCTCCCCTGTTAAGGAAGACTGTGGAGAAACCATCTAGAGCTGGTGTGGCAGCTTTGCAGGGTCATCATGAACCTTGTTTCTCATTTATCTGCCCTGCCGTGCTTGGCTCATAGCTTTCATTTTCAGGTTTGTTTTATATCCACAGTAGCTGCTCAAGCCCCGACCATCAGACCTACGCTGTAAGATGCAAGAAGGGGAAAGACAAAGGATTGCATGTCTCTTAGGCAGATTTTCTGGGAATACTATACAACAATTCTACTTATATATCATTGATCAGAACTCAGTCATGTGTGCACATCGAAGGGTGAAGGAACAAGGAAATTGTAGTTTTCACTGTGGCAGCAATGTGTCAAAATAAAAACTGCATCAAAAGAAAGGAGAAGAGAGTGGACATTGAAAGGCAGATTGCAATCACACTGTCTGATACTTTTTTACTTCCAGTAGTTCTTATTGTTTCCCATTCCTCTGCCTATTGAAGCAGGCTTTGAAAGCAGGTAGAACCTAGGTTTTTTTGTTTGTTTGTTTGTTTGTTTGTTTTAAGAAAAGGATTACTTATAATGGACTTAAAATTTGCTGTCGTATTTAGATGTATAGAAATGTTATTTTTTTATTTGCTAAACTTGACTCACCTACAAACCCTTATTTCTATTAATGGCTGGGGAAAGAAGTCTTGTTAAATGTGATACAGTCAGTGCTGTTTTAAAATTGAGTCTCTTTGGATTGACTATTGGGTTGTATGCAGGGCTTGTCTCTTCCTCCTTCTTGCATCCTCCCCAGGAGCTGGTCTGTTATTTTCTCCTTCTCAGACCTTCAAAATTAGGGACGGGATACATCCTACCCCTCTCTGCCCAGAAGCCTTTGGGGCTGGTCTTCTTTTTCTAGTGTCTGTTGCAGAAGTCAGCACATGGGAAACAGTTAAAAATGTGACTGATGCATTTATGAGTCTACTTTAGATGCTTCACATAATTAATTCAAATGGTACCATAATGATCGGAAAGTCCTGTACAATTAAAAGTCTATTTTTCTGAAGCTTCTAGCACTATACTTGTCTCTTTCTTTTAGCGCTGATGCTTCTCTGCTGTCCCTAATGTGACCTGTGCATTCGCCTTGTGCCTCATTTCATGCCTGTCTCTGATCTGTGGAGCTTTCACAGGTGCTGAGAGCTGGGGACACGGGAAGCTTTCAGTCAGTGACACACAGCAACAGGCCATGGGACTTTATGAGTTGTCACTGAGAATGGCTCCCATCTCAGAAGGAAAGGAATAGAGCTGATCACAGCTATGTACAAGGCCATCAATAAAGACAAGTTGTTATTTTGCCTTTTACTGAACTTGTACCATTTTTTAAAAGAAAAAAATTGCTTTTGTTTTTCAGAAATCCTCCACCCACCTTACTGCATCCAGAAAACTGGTGTGAGGAATTCAACCACTTTATTTCACAGTGAGTATTTTCTGAAAATTGCTTATCTAGCAGGGCTTGAACAGTGACTGGAGAAAAATCCGAGCTGTGGAATTTACTTGACATTAGAAGTTGCTATGCTTATCAGCTCATTAGGATGCAGGATTTGTTCCAGTAAATGATAGAAGATGCCTCTACTGGATTTGAAAACTCAGGAGTTCCTTTTGACTTGGCTATAATCAGTGCTGTGATCACATGAACCTCAGTTATCCAAAAACCTATGCTGGTGTGGGCCTAACATTGCCATCTTGCTGTGTTTGATGAAGCAGGAGACTCAACATCTAAAAATCCCTTGATCACTGTGGGACCAGAGAGAAGACAAAGGTGAACAGGCCCAACAGGATTTGCAGCATGGCTGTTGGGCTTCGCTCTAGGATCTGTGGTATCCAGTTACCGAAATGACTGAAGGGACAAATTAGGAGCTTGGGCCTGGGACATCAAAGTGAGGCAGCGTAGCCCAGGCTGGAGGTATGGAAAACAAGGTGAAATGCCAGCTGATGGTGGGAGCTATGCAGCTAGGCCATATTTAGTAAAACTAAGACAGCACAACCGACAGTGACTTTGACAGGGCGACTCTTGCTGGGATTGTAGGCTTTTCCTCCTGCCAGAGAACCTCACTGGTCCCAAATATGCAGCGGATTCTCAGTCTGGAGGAGGCCATGAGGCCCCAGGCTAGGGCCTGGTGAATCATGAGGATGGAACTGTGGACTGGGCATTAAATCCAAGCCCAGGGGCAGGGTCTGGAAAGAGGTACCCCCAGCACCTAATACACCAAACAGGTTTCAGAGGTCATGGGAGGTGAAAAGAAGTGACCAGGTAGCTGACAGACATACAGTAGGGAAGGTCAATACACAATTCTTCATCTATGCCTGTATGTAGACTTCGCCTCCACAGTCTGGGCCACCAAACTAACTGGATGTCTCAATTGTCCTCCTTAATCACACTTGGAGGTCTATAGTCCTTTATCTACAATCCCAAAATCCAAACAGCTCTGAAAAATGGGAGTTCTTTTATAGTTGAGTTACTTAGCAGCAAAACCTGACCTTACATGAACTGATTTAATGGCAAGGCATGACCTGAGCGGATGTGAGGCTATTTATAGTCATTATTTATCTTACTTAGTATGAATATTCATGCGTTTTGCCACAGATATTTTACTGTTTGATTACAGTACGCTGCCCCTGCTCCTGCTGGAAATATTACATAATATACAGTAAATGTACCAGTTTACTTGTCAAAATTTGATGTAATTTGAAATTCTAACCATGTTTGGCCCCCCAAGGGTTTGCATAAGTGGTGTGAACCTGTATTTCATTTTCATTTCAAATGCAATATAGTTCAGAATCCCTAAAATTATTTGGTCATCCAATCCATTTTGGACATGTGCCCTGTTCCTCCGGAGATGGGAGCAGAAAAGAGCTCACAGAACTACCAAGAGAGGCTGTACTGGAACATAACCACGAAGTTCAAGGCCAGGGGTGGGGGACGTGTCCTTGTCTCTCTAGCCCGGCTCCTACAGTTTAGCAGAATGCACCAGGGACAGCTATGAGTCAGGGGATGTTGGGCCAGGACAGAGAGGAACAACAGCGTAGAACAGAGGAAAAGCCACTTCCCAAAGGTTGGAAGCCACGGGAGAAAGTGGAGAGAACAAGAACTGAAGACTCCCTGATGGTTTGGGTTCGCATTTCACACCACCCCAGAGAGAAACCTGGGGCTAAGTTTCCAGTGAGTTGCTGGCAAAAAAACAGAGGAAAGATTTTTCATTTCTTTGCTGCACAGCTACCCTTGATTGACCTTCTCCAAGGTGTTGGCCTAGAAAAATCCATTACATATTCACTAATACACCTTCTCCTTCTGAGCTCTCCTGGTGCCCCTAGGATGTGATTTGACTCACAAGTTTGGCTGCGGTGTACTTATTCAAGGGTATGTTTGTGTTCTTATACCAAGCACGCTATTGCTTGGATGGATTTGAAAATAAGGGAGTCTAACTGATGGCAGGGTTAAGACTTTTAGGGCTACCTACAATATAAAAATCTCTCCTTGCTACTGATATTCCCTTATGGCAAATCTTATTTCATGCCATTTCCAATCTACTTATGTTTTCCGTAATTTTGAGGATTGCAGATGCAATTTTAGTTTTAGTTTTAAAAAGACCTACAGTGGGGGCTGGGGAGTTAGCTCAGCAGCAAAGCGCCTGCCTGGCAAGCGCAAGGTCGTGAGTTCGGTTCCTGGTACCAGAGAAAAACAAAAAAAAAAAAAAAAAAAAAAAAAAAGACCTACAGTGTTATGGAGGGTAAACACAGGCAGTAATACTTTTGAGTATGCAGGGTCAAAGCCAAACACACTGCAAATACCGAGAAGGGAGAGTCTGAACAGTCCTAATGAACCAAGGAGAACAAATGGAAACTAAATGATTGTGTGCTTTACTACTAATTTGAGATATGGAAATATGTCATCAGTCTTTTCTTTCTTTAGTAACTTTTCTTTATTGTTTTTTATTAGTAAAAATATTATGCATTATAGATGTACATGGATTCTTTCTTGACTTTAGTCCTTCAATCCTATTTTTCCCATAAAATCTGATATTTCATCTGTGACTTCTCCTTCTACAGTATTTAGGGATGGGGGAACTGATCATTATATTTTATGTCTTTGGAGAGAAATTTTTCCAAATAATAACCTTTGGTTTCATAAATGAGACTGCTGGGTCTAGACTGCCGTCACTCAGCCTGCCAGATGCAATTTGGCCAAATCCGATTTCATTATTCAAATCTCTAATTAAATATAAACAATGACACTCTTGGGTGTGAAATGCCTATTTAAAGACAGAGCCTTACTTTGCTTTTATACTTACCTTGCTCATATTGGGAAGGAAGGATGGAGGATTAAGACCCTTGGGTTGTAAGATAAAAAGGCCAAATTATTGGAAGGACTGGGGTGGGGAAGATGATTGATTTTAATCTGGTGATTTTAGGAAAAGTGTTTTTAACCTGAATTTTTCAGATAATTGCTTCATTTGCCTTTGTCAACCCAGGCACAGAATATCATGTTAAACTGAACAGATTCTGTCTAAAGAATGAACAGGATTAGAAATTTCCGAACATCTTTAAAACCTTTGGTTCCACGTCTTCGTGTAGCTGGTGAACCATCCTGATTCAGTCCTTTAGTTCTTTCTTGGTGCACACTGGGCACTGCTCAGCAGAGGACCTGGAAGACATCTTATTGGCTGCTGGGCTCTGAGTGAGTTGGGTTGGCTGCGGCCTAGTGACTGTAGCAGTGTGGACAGGGCCTGCTCCTGTGTGTGTGTGTGTGTGTCAGAGAAAATGAGGGGGATGTAGCTTTGTAGCTTAGTGTTTTTCAGATTTGCTTCTAGCCTCCTTATTCGGAGATAGTAAGAGAGCTTTTTAAAAGGGCCTAAAAGTCTAAAATCCTATTAGCAAGCCTGTCTTGGGGTTAAAAAAAAAGAAACAAAACCATCACCCTGTTTGATTCTGAACCTTTGGTTGTTAGTGATAATTGACTCATTTATATGTGTTAGTTATGCGTTTGTCAAAGCATGACTCCTGACAGCTTAGTTATGACAAATTAGACGTGATGCTCACATAAATTCTGCACTGCTTTTTATCCATATACTGGGGCCCTGCCTGATGTTTTTTGTCACCTCTATAATGTGTGGTTGGCTTTGTAGAGATTTCATTATCAGCCCTTTCCCCGATGGCTAACACTATTTGCATAACAAGTTTATCTGGTTCAAGTACCAGCCAGACTTGTGCTTTGGCAGGAGGCTCTATTCAAAAGTAGCATTTTGATAAGATAACCATAATTTTCATTTTGCCAGTTTCACCTTGGTCCTCATGGATGCTGTTTTTTCCTCTCTCAAGTTCAAACTGATGTAAGGTCTTTGGATGAAACTACAAAAACAGTTTCCCAGCCCTTGGTCAAAAGGTATTTGTGAGCTATACTCTTTTGTTTTATCTCTGAAGCTGTTGAGATTTCATTAGGGCTTAGATTTAAGACTCCTCATCAGTGGCTCTTGAGCTGATTAGTGAGACAATAAAGATGGATTTTCTTTGGTCAAGGGCAAGTCCACCAGGAGCATGATGGCCGCTCAGCTTTGGATTTAATGATGAGGACTATATGATCACTCACACATAAACTGCTTTCTCGGAGTGCCTGCTGAGCAGTGCAGGGGAGAGAAAGTAATTCCCACCCATTGTACAGTTCATAACTGAGACCTCTATAGACAGATTAACAAGAGAAAAGCATAACAAATGTATTTAATATAAGTTTTACATGACAGGAGAGCTTTCAGAAGTGAAGTTCCAAAGACTCAGGGAGAAGTGTATTGCTATGCTTAGGTTTGAAGAAGGGACAGTCACGTAGAAATGTGATCGACACAAAAGGGCCATGACTGACTGGTAATAAACTGGGAGGAACTTGACAAGGCCTGTCTGACTCTTCGTGATCTGTCAGTATAACGTTCCATTCTCCAGGTGTAGGGCAGGACACCTATCACACGAGAGTCTTCAAAAGAGAAGAGAGTAGGAGAGGGTCAGAGTGATGGTCTTGTTTTTGTGTTTCTGTATCTTTTGTAATTTCCTTCAGCTTGGAATATTCAGTATGCGAGGTGCTATGCTGGAAGTGTGGGTGGTGGTGTGTTCTGCCCTTCTGCAGTGAGCACACAGGTGTGTCTGTTTCCCAGCAGGAACAGTGTGACTGAGCCTTGCTATCTAGTCCCAGAGGGCGGAGGCAGGCTTTTCCTAGTGCTCCAGATGAGGCAGAAATGGGTATATGCATTTGTGCTGAATGTTAACAAGATGAGATCACTCTGAGCTATGGAAATGAATGGGTATTTGCATATGTTTATTTCTTAAAAACTGAAACTTGCTTTCTCTGTAGGCCTGAATGTTGATAAAGCTAACCGTTTGGGAGACGGTTGTTTCCTTGGCACTGATTGCATTCCCCTAAGGCAGCAATTCTCA